TGGAGTCAGGAAGATAGTGGCATCATGGTTTCTGAACTGGTAATTGAGAACTCCAAGCTGTTCATGCTTTGGGGATATGGGGTTAAAACCTGTTGCAACAGCTGATGGAATTTCAATTTAATTCATAAAGACATCTGGAATAGAAGGCTTGTCTCAATGATCATGACCAGGCTAACATTAAATGAATGGTATTCAGACCCATCTGGTTCACTGATGTCTTTGAGTGAGGGAAATCTGCTATCCTTACCTGGTGTGGCCTACATGTGACTCCAGGCCTACAACAATATGGTTGTCTCTTAGCTACCGTCTGAAATGGCCAAGTGATACACTCAGTTTGAGGACAACAAGGACACCTAGCTGGTTAGCTTGGATGGCTTGTTTGTAAAGTAGAGCAACCATGAAGGATTCTTGTTGTTTAAGGCATGGTGACCCTCAGGTTAAACTCACCACCAGTTGTCTCCCTCAATGACGGAACAGCCAGATGGTGATTTTCTTTCATTCACAATATGGTGAATCCAGGAGATAAAGAGTTGATATATTTCCTGATGACCCAACACTCAGTGGCTATCGGAAAGGGCAATGACATGTTGGGAGTTACCATTGGAAGCCAGAGAGGAATGGGGGTGCTTTTTCTGGCTGCAGCAACTTCTCATGTCAGTCCCCTTAAAATGAATGACATCTGCCCAACTCCCCTGTGACACGATGAACATCCAACCTGACTAATCGGATATTGAGCCAATATACAATGATTGAGCTCTCCACTGAAGAGTGTTTAAAAGGAGAGCACTACTTCAGCTTAGGTACATGACAGTTCATGCTGCTGCTAAAACTCAGTACGTTTCATTCATTTTAATATTCTAAACAATATGTTTTGTAATGAAAACAGAAATACCGCGATCACATTACTGCATTAACACTTAGTCCATTATTCACATCGTTCAAACCTCAGCAGAATTCTTTGTACATCATGTACGCTGATAAGTGAAAGAATGCAGATGTCTCAGAGGGTTGTACTGCTGGAGGAGATATCGGATGAGGTAGGATAAGGTTGTGAAGGTGCTGCAAATCGCCTCTCTGTGAAAACCAACATTACTTAGTATCTGTCGTTGTGGTACTCAGTTCAGTTCTGCTGACTAATCACTGATGCACTTTCATGCTCAATTACAATGGAATACTCCCCATTTGCCTGGATAGGTGCAGCCCCAACAACACTCAAGAAGCTCGACACCATCCAGGAGAAAGCAGCCCCCACTTGATTGGTACCACATCCGCAAACATCCACTCCCTCCACTACTGACGCTCAGTAGCAGCAGTGTGTATTATCTACAAGATGCACTGCAGAAATTCACCCAAGATCCTCAGACAGCACCTTCCATACCCATGATCACTTCCATCTAGAAGGACAAGGGCAGCAGATACATGGGAAAACCACCACCTATAATTTCTGCTCCAAACCACTCACAGTCCTGACTTGGAAATATATCGCTGCACCTTCAGTGTTGCTGGGTCAAAATTCTGGAATCCCCTCCCTAAGGGCATTATGGATCAACCTATAGCACATGGACTGCAGCGGTTCAAGAAGGCAGCTCATCACCACCTTCTCAAAGGGCAACTAGGGACAGGCAATAAATGCTGGACCAGCCAATGATACCCATGTCCAACAAGTGAATTTTAAAAATTCCACTCATTTCCATGTGCTTTCTTTGTTACTTTCTGTAACTGCATGCTAACGTTTTGTGATGCATACAACAGAACACCCAGATCCCTTTGCGCTCTATAATTCTGTTCTTATTTTAACTAATGCTCTACTCTTTTTAGAGTCATAGAGACATAAAGATCTATACATGGAAGAAGGCTATTCGGCCCATTATGTCTTCTTCATTCAAAAACAACCACCTAACTATTTTAATCTCATTTTCTAGAACTTGGCCCATAGCCTTGTGTGGCTTGACATTACGAGTACACATCTAAATACTTCTCTAATGTGATGAGGATTTATGCCTCTACCACCCTCACAGGAATGAGTTCCACATTCCCACCACTGTCTGGGTGAAAAAAGTTTTCCTCAGATCTCCTGTAAGCCTCCTACCCTTTACATTAAATCTATGCCCCTGGTCATTGATCCCTCCACCAAGGGGAAAAGTTTCTTTCTGTCTGTGCTACCTATGCCTCTCATAATTTTATACATCTCAATCACGTCCCCTCTCAATCCTCTGTTCTAAGGAAAACAACCCCAGTCTGTTCAAGACAGTAAGAACTGCAGATGCTGGAGTCAGAGATAACACAGTGTGGAGCTGGAGGAACACAGCAGGCCAGGCAGCATCAGAGGCACAGGAAAGTTGATATTTCAGGTCAGGACCCTTCTTCAGAAATGGGAAGGGGAAAGGAAGCTGTGAAATAGATAGAGAGAGGATGGGTGGTGCTGGGGAAGGTAGGTGGGATGGTGATAGGTGAGTGCAGGTAGGGAGCGGTGGGGATTGATCAGTGAGGTGGGCAAGGTGGATAGGTGAGAGAGAAGATGGACAGGTTGTGTCAGGTCAAGGACATGGGGATGAGAGGGAGGGTTGGACATGGGATAAGGCCGGGGGTGGGGAGATTTTGAAACTGGTAAAATCCAGTTTAGGCCATTGGAATGTAGGCTCCCGAGGTGGAATATGAGGTGCTGCCCCTCCAGCTCCAGGTGACATCATTGTGACACTGGAGGAGGCCCAGAATGAACATGTCACCCAGGCAGTGGGAAGGGGAGTTAAAATAGTTGGCAGCCAGAAGGTGTAATCGTTTGTCGCAAACAGAGCGCAGATACCCTATAAAATGGTCTCCGAGCCTCCACTTTGTCTCACTGATATAGAGGAGGCTACATCAGGAGCAGCGGATGCAGTAGACCACATCCTGGTCAGTCTCCCTCTGCATCCTCTCCAATGTTATCACATCCTGGTCAGTCTCCCTCTGTACCCTCTCCAGCGCTATCACATCCTGGTCAGTCTCCCTCTGTACCCTCTCCAATGTTATCACATCCTGGTCAATCTCCCTCTGTACCCTCTCCAGTGCTATCACATCCTGGTCAGTCTCCCTCTGTACCTTC